TTTTTTCAAAGATGTTCATTTAATTTTCTTAATTAACATAAATCTCTTCTTCCAGGGAGTCCTGGCCAAGATAACCTCAGAAAAACATCTTTCACAATTAGCCCACCTTCAGCACAACTAAGACGTACAAAACACAGCCAAGACACAGGGGTCATACATCAACCTCTTAGGAAAAACAATAACAAATTTTATTTAGTTCACGTTTCAATGAATTCTTCAAAATTGACAAAGAAGGAATTACGTCTAAATGTGTAAGACAACCAAGGAGCATAGTAACAACATGCAGTATAGAAACGTTCAGTATACAGTAGGTGAACTGGATTAAGTAAATTGTGTGTGTGAGGACGTTTTCCAGCACTAGTGGTTGCATGAGTGCAGTCTCAGGGCTAGCTTACGACAGGAAGGGCATCTGCTGGTAAACACATAATCCAGAGTAATTGAGTAATAGCGAACCCTTATGGAGAATTGAGCAAGCCAACGTAAAGTGAGTGAGTTTTACTAAATGTCTTTGCTTGACTTTATTTCTGGGTCACACTTTACAATAAGGTTCATTAGTTAATGTTAAGTAATGCATTTACTAACATGAACAAACAATGAACAATACATTTACTACAGTATTTATTCATGTTAGTAAACATTAGTTAATGAACATACAGTTGTTCGTTGTTAGTTCATGTTAACTCATGGTGCATTAACTAATGTTAACAAGCATGGACTTGAATGTTAATAATGCATTAGTAAATGTTTAAATGATTAGTTCATGTTAGTAAATGCATTAACTAATGAACCTTATTTTAAAGTGTTATCTATTTTTGTCTTAATTAAGAAATCAATATAAGTTGCGTTACAAAGTGAGATCATGCCTTTATTTAGGTTGGGCATGCAATATAAATGCCACCAGTTGAAATCTCTGTTGTTGTTGACTTGATGCTGGTCTGCTTGGAGTTGTTGTTTTATGTATATGCATATTTATTGATAGACAGAATCATGAAAATGAGGAGTTTTACAGTTCTAAGCATGTGTTGTCCTGTTCATCTGTTTGATGAAAATGACCCTGTGAAAATATGGATATGAACATATACAATAAAGAAGAACTTGTGTTGAAAGTTTTAAAAAAAGAAGCTGTAAGGTAGCTGTGAAGATTTACACTAATGAGGTGTAGTCTGGTGCAGGGCATGAATGCTTCAGCTTGGAAGCGATAGGAAAAAAACTAAGAGCATTACACAAAACAACTCAAGGAAAAATCCTCTGAACTCATTTCACAACATGTGACATTTTCAAACAATTCAAGCAACTCTGAGCCATTTTGAATCTGTTCTAATTGGGCCACCTTTAAATTAGTGAGGCTTTTTTTATAAAAGCTGATTTGTTCTGGTAGAGACAGATATGACATATCCCCTATACTTGAGTTTTTTTTCACACATGCATTTTCCCGGTGCTGCTGCTTTTACCAGCCACACACAAAGTCATTGACTTTTAAGACTGTTGGGAAGGAGGAAGCGCTGTCCCAGATAGATGCTGCAGTGCTGCCAATACTTGATTTGTACTGGAGCGAGTTACAACCCAAACAGCAGAAGCTCACATTTTGAGACCAGACTTCATTTTTAAATATATCTTCATCTCTGGGAAATATTTTCAGATTTTCATAATTCAAATTTAAACAAAATGTAAATTCGTTCATTCATTTATTCATTTTCTTTTCTGCTTGGTCCCTTTATTATTCTGGGGTCGCCACAGCGGAATGACCCACCAACTTATCCAGCACATCTTTTACGCAGTGGATGCCCTTCCAGCTGCAACCCATCTCTGGGAAACATCCATACAAACTCATTCAAACACATACACTACGGACAATTTAGCTTACCCAATTCACCTGTACCACATGTATTTGGACTGTGGGAGAAACCGGAGCACCCAGAGGAAACCCACACGAATGCAGGGAGAACATGCAAACTCCACACAGAAATGCCAACTGATCCAGCCGAGGCTCGAACAAGCAAACTTATTGCTGTGAGGCGACAGCTCTGCCCACTGTGCCACTACGTCGGCCAAAATGTAAATATATGAATGAATTAATAAATAAGAACAGAATAAAATACAGTAGCCTGCAAATGGCAGGTTTTTTTGTGATGTTCTCCATTTTAGGCATGCCTATTTGAAATGCAAAACAAGGCTTAGACTAAATTACCCAGTATCCCTTTGGTTTTTCATCTTAACCTTTTACTACCCACCATGAAAAAAAAAGTTTGTATTGCAATTCTTAACTCCTAATATTGCTAGTTAACACACTCAATGCATTTTTTTCAATGCATTCCATAATTTCTAAAATATCAGCCTCTACCAAATGGTTGATGTGGGGGTTTATGGTAAAAGTGCTGGAATTAACATGTATGAATAATGTAAAATATGAAGTACTATAATGTAATGTTAAAAAATTATTCAAAACAAAACATTTTTGAATACTAAATCATCTTTATTTTTTGAAGTATGCCATGAAATATTTCAGATTCTTATTTAACATGTTTTCTTGTTTTTTTTTTGTTCACAATAAAACCAAAATAAAGTGTAGTAGTGCAACGAATTATGTTAACCAACAATGCTGTGTGTGTAAACCATTATGTAAAACAGTCATTCTTTAAATTACTTTAACTGTCATTATTAAAACAGTAAAAACATGGTCAACTGTTTGGTAGAGCGACAGTCAAAGGGTTAACTTATACACAATAATAATAATAATACAATAATAATAATTATTCATAATACACAGGCTTGGCTTCTTTTCTGTTAAGTTGCTGTAAAAAAACACAAGTCGCAGGTTGTTGATTTTATTTTTGTATTTTTATGTGACAAGCATTTTCATTTATTTGTATCTATCATTGTTAGATATAATTATTACTATTTCTATTTATTATATATTGTTAATTTCATTTATTATTGCTATTTATGTAAATTTTTTTTATTTTGTGGTAAATATATGACTGCTTTGTGTTAAATATATATATATATTTTGTTTAAACAACATGTTTTTACTAATGTTAATCTTGATTACGCATGGGCTGGTATAAATTTCTGACAACCTTGATAAAATGATCTCCTTGGATAAAAATACCAGTTTTATGGTATCATACTATTGTAATAACTGCTCAAAAATTTAATTCAATTGAATTCACCTTTATTTGTATAGCGCTTTTAAAATGTAGAATGTGTCAAAGGAGCTTCACGTAAATGGTCATAGTAAATTGGAACAGAGTAGTTGAGTTTTTAGTGTTTAAGTTCAGTTCAGTTTAGCTCAGTTCAGTGTGGTTTAAAATCATTACTGAGAGTCCAAACACTAAAGAGCAAATTCATCGATGCCTAGCTCTACCGATCCCAAGCCATGCAAGCTAGAGGCGACAGTGGAGAGGGGAAAAAAACTTCACCGATTGGCGAGTGAAGAAAAAAAAACCTTGAGAGAAACCAGACTCAGTTGGGTACGATCATTTTAATTTGTCCGCTGGCCAAACGTCTTGTGCAGAGTTGCAGTCTCAGCGGCAGAGGCTGGTAGCTGGCCTCTGCGAAGACTCGTCTGTCCTTGTAGCGTCACTAGAATCAGTCTTATGTTCTCCACTCCTCCTTAAACAACGTAGCAGCTGCTCAGGATACGGCCTGGTTCAGGATGGAAAACTTGGGATCATCTCGTCGCTGGTCTTGGATCCAATCAGTGACTCCGCATTGTCTGAGGGCCTCGGGAGGAATATCCCCAGGTGGAAATGGAGAATAAAGAGAATAATTAGCGTAGCTGCTGTTCATTGTGGAGGATAGTAGCATCTGTGTTCAAGTCCAAAATGAACTAAGGATAGCTGATGTTGTGCTGCATCTTCTTTTGTTTAAAAGTTTACTAATGCAGTGAAAATCTGTTTGCTAATTGTACATACATGAACACATTAGTACATTGAATGACTATGTTTTTTTTTTTTTAGCTAAACTAGGTTTTTGTGAACTAAGCATTGTATCAGTTGATGAAATACGGTTATTTTCTGTAAATTTTAACAGTCCTATAAAACTTCTGTATTATTACAGAAAATTCCTGGCAACCACTGCCGGTATTTTTTTGTAAATTTAACAAATTTTTTAACAGTGTAAATAAATTAAAGCTAAATTATTAATGTTGTGTTGATTGAACGAAACAACATTGCATTACCTTTATGTAACTAACTTAATTCACACAAATAAATATTCTTTCTTAAAGGTAACTAAACTCAGTTGCGTAGAACCTGTTGACATAAAAAAGTTATTTAAAGCCAACATATCATTTTTTTTTGAGTGTATATACACAAGATGCAGAAACCTGTGTGGAAACCCGCTAAGTGATTCCTTATAAACAGATAGGTCTTTAATCTAGTTTTGAACTGAGAGAGTGTGTCTGAGCACAGGAAGGCTATTCCAGAGTTTAGGAGCCATAAAGGAGAAGGCTCGACCTCCTTTACTCGACTTTGCTATTCTAGGTACAAAAATAATTTTTTTCTAAATGTCTGGCTAAAAGTTTTTCCCTATTGAACACAATTTATTTTATTTTAAGAAACTTTTATTTTTGGAAGCAGTAAACATGTCAAACTAAATAGTTAAATAAATATTTGACTTCTGCTATCTATTTCATAGCTTTCAAAAACACAGATTTCTTTACAAGACATAAAAAATACATTAAAAAAATCACATAGACCTTGGGAACAGTTTAGCGGTATTAAAACCTTGACTTTTCCAAACCGCAGTTAACCTTAAACCGTTTATCGTCCTTGCCTAGGCTTGATTTAACATGTTGTGGGCTTTTTTCTTGTGGTAATAGTTTAAATTGATTATAATAAATCTTCAAATACATATACTGTAGGGCTTGTTTTTAAACTTCATTTGCTTTTTTGTTTTTTTCATTGGGCCATCAGAAACACTAACTTCCCTTATTAAATCACTACCAAAATATTACAGCATAGGCCTCACCATCTTTGTCTCTAACCGATGACAAACAGATCTCAGTTTTGATCTTCAGGATGCTGACGGTGTCATTATTATGACAGTCATTACATAAGCAATTTCCTGCGGGATAAATAAAGTTTTCTAAGTCTAAGTCTAAGTCTAAGTCATTATTGATCCTCTGCAAGCCTTCTTCCTCTCCCTCACCTGTAAAGATTATACCTGTGGATGACCTTCCGGCCACTGCTGAGCTACGGGCTTCTGTTCTCCGCGTTAGTCTGCCAAAGACATTTATCAAGTCATTTCTCAATCATCTGCTTCAAGCAAGTATCAGTAACTGTCTTTATACAGTAACTTAATGTTTCTGCTATTTGTTACCAACGATTCTGGTTTGTTTATCCATTTAGCTGCCTCTTATCATGTTTCACTTCGACACATTGACTGCCATGTAATTTTAGGCTGGTTTATATTATTTAGTAGTGTTTAAATGGATAAAAAATAAGATTTTTTTCTGTTGAACACAAAGAAGATATTTTGCAGAATGCTGGTGGCTAGGACCATTCAACTACCATAGTAAAACAAAAATGACTATGGCAGGCAATTGTTCAGAGCAGCCAGCACTTTTCTAAATATCTGCTTTTGTGTTCAGCAGAAGAAAGAAACTAAAATAGGTTTTGAAGGGCAAGTAAGTGATGACAGATATTTTGGGTGAACTTTACCTTCATGACGGTTTTATTAAAAGACCAAATTCATTATACACTGAATTGATTTGTCTATACGCAAGCAAGTTGAATCACTCAGAATAAGAATGGAAATTTGTACAATAAGCGTTTTTCCTTAGAAAAGCTCTATAAAGAAGATGCTGACTATGCTAAATACTGTATGGCGTTATGAATGTGCCTTCATATTTTGGGCTCAGCTGCTTGTAAGTCTATATGGTATGTATCATCAATAATGTTTATATTGAATTTGGTCCTTCAATGACGCTAGCTAAGTTTACATGGACAATTTTAGTTTTAGTCCGCTTGAAAACTTCCAAACGATAAATCCAGTGTTAATGTAAAAAATGTAAATAAGGGTTGATTTGCATATTCTTGATTTTCTGACATGCGCACACTGCACATACTGTAGTTTCCTGCTGTTTCAAGATGTGATGTGCATACACTAAATGCTTATTTGTGACCATGGACCACAAAACCAATCTTAAGTTGGATAGGTATATTTGTGTGAACAGTCAAAAACACGCTGTATGAGTCAAAATAATTATTATTTTATGCCAAAACAGTTATAATGTTGGGTAAAGATTGTGTTGCAAATTGTTTTTATTTTCTTCTGATAATAGATCTAATTAAATTTTTGGTTAGTATAAATGGCTATGAACTCAATCTAGACAACTTTGAAGCAGATTTACTCTGTGTTTTGAATATTTCAAACTCTCAGACTCCAGATATTCATTCATTCATTTTCTGCCGCTTTTCCGGGCTGGGTCACAGGGGCAGCAGTCTTATGAGAGAACCCCAGACTTCCCTCTCCCCAGACACTTCCTCCAGCTCCTCCGGGGGTATCCCAAAGCGTTCCCAGGTCAGCCGAGAGACATAGTCCCCTCCAGCATGTCTTGGGTTTTCCCTGAGGCCTCCTCGCACTGGGACATGCCTGGAACACCTCCCTAGGTAGGCGTCCAGGAGGCACCTGAAACAGATGCCCGAGTCACCTCAGCTGACTTCTCTCGATGTGGAGGACCAGCGGCTCTACTCCGGGTGTCAGAGCTCCTCACTCTATCCATAAGAGTGCACCCTGCCACCCTTCGAAGAAACTCATTTCAGACGGTTGTATCCGAGATCTTGTCTTTTCGGTCATGACCCAAAGCTCATGACCAAAGGTGAGAGTAGGAACGTAGATTGACCAGTAAATCAAGAGCTTTGCCTTTTGGCTCAGCTTTTTCTTTACCAAAATGGACCGCTACATTGACTGCATTACTGCTGCTGCTGTACCAATCCGCCTGTCAATCTCACGTTACATCTTTCCCTCACTTGTGAACAAAACCCCGAAATACTTAAACTCCTCCACCTGGGGTCAGGACTTGTCTTCAACCTGGAGATGACAAACCACCATTTTCCCGTGGAGCACCATGGCCTCGGACTTGGGAGGTACTGATTGTCATCCCAGCCATGTCACACTCGGCAGCAAACCACCCCAGTGCATGCTGAAGGTCCATGTTTGATGAAGCCAACAAAACAACATTGTCTGCGAATAACAGAGATGAAATCCTGTGGTACCTGAACCGAACCCCCTTCAGCCCAAGGCTGCACCTTAAAAATCTGACCATAAAAATTATGAACAAAATTGGTGACAAGGGGCAGCCCTGTCAGCCCTCGCAAACAAGTCTGACTTATTGCCGGCAATGCGAACCGGACTCCTACTCTTTAAAGGGACGAGGCGGCCTTTAACACACCTCTTTTGGTCCTATACTCCCTGAGCACCCTCCACAGAATGCCACAAGGGACACGGTTGAATGCCTTCTCCAAGTCTACAAAACACACGTAGACTGGTTGGGCATACTCCCATGAACCATCGAGCACCCAGGTAAGCCAACATATGGATTACAATACCTGTCATGCACCACACACTTACACCTGTTCCAGTTTCCTACTGATTGCTAACACACAAAGCCGAAGCTGTTCAAAACTGATAACTAATCAAACCCTTCTGTTTCACAAACATGTGCCGAGTTATTTAGCTGTTGCTGTCATTACGTAAGCGGGTTACTTTGTTTCTAGTTTTTGGTGTTTTTGGCTTTGGTCTGTTTATCGCGTTTTGATTCTATGCTGCCTACCCTGAATCTTTCCCCTGTTTTTGCATTGTCTGCTACACAGTTTGTGCTGGATTTCGACCCCTGCCTGTCTGATCATTCTAAATGAAGCTGCATTTAGAACTACCCTTGTCTGCATATCATTAATTTGCAACAATTGTCTATTCAGATGATGTATAAGTCTGAGTCAATTCCTTATGACTGGTTTTGTGATCCAGAGTCATTTCTTTACTCTTTTTAAAGTAAGTGTCAGAAGCAACATTATCCTACAAGACATGACGTGAGAACTCTGATATGATGCAACAGTAATTCTTGACAGTTTCAAGTTCATTATCATCCACTAGTTCTGTGTTGTACATATTTATACCATTTTGCATATGCAGAACTTTACAGCTCCAGTTTTAATCCAATGGAGTGTTTACATAATTGGATTAGAAAAGGTTTCAACGTCCCTTTACTATCGGAATGACTTTCTGAATGCCATTTTAAGTGACTTTTGTCAATTCATTCTGGCTGACATTAAGTGTGAATTTTTTATTCAGATCGATTTAGGCGGCTAACAGCAAATATCGATAAACAAAGCGAGGGTTTAGGGAAACAAAACAAGAAAACTGCTTTGTGATGCTATAGGATTAGATTAAGAATTGTGAATGAGAAAGTGAAGTGTATATAGTGCTCCGAATAAATAAGTCCACCCCTTACAAATCAATTTTTTTATTTATATTTTTAATAGGAAGCTATGCTATATTGTATTTGTACATACAATACATATACATTAGATCAGTCAGTACTGAAGACAAATCTGAAGATTATCTAACAAAATAACATATGATAACGGTCCAAAATTAGTACACCCACATTTATTTGTTATAGAAGTGTATTAAATACAAATAAAAAAAAGGAAAAATCATGAGAAGCAAGAACATGTAAAAAGTTAGTTGACATTTTGTAAGTTGTAATTTTTTTTTTGCAATATTTTACATAAATTTAATTGTATTAACTTTTAGTTTTTTAAAAATGTTTAATGACTAAAATATTATTTTATTAAATAGATCTGTTTTGTTTAAATGCACCAAAATACATTGCCTATATTCACTAATAAATTGAGAAAAATATTCATTTTCAAAATGGGGTGTACTTAATTGTGAGTTGTCAAGAGTGGCAACAAGCTACAGCTGTGTCTGTGTGTGATTGTCCGGACTATTGTCACCTGTTTCAGAAGTTGATGGGTGCTAAGAGTTCTATGTGTTGTAGTTCTGCAGACATACCAGATTGAATCTCCAGCATTGATAACATAGTGATCGTGACAATTTTATTTCAAATTCTTGAAACGACCTTCAGTACTTTCAAACAACTAAAGTAGCAGTAAAAGGCTGAAAACTACAGTAGGAATAGATGTCATGGACTCTGACATTATAAAAAAAATAGATTAGTGTAATGCCTAATTTTTAAGGTTTATCCACGACAAGGTTTAAAATCTTAAAATAAAATATGAATATAAAATCATTGTCTGTGAAAGCATCCATCTCATGTAGTAATTGCATCCGATGAGCAGGCTTTTATGAATTTTAAACAAAGCTAAGATTGCACTCCAACAACTCCTTTCAAGGTGCATGTTGTGAAGCTCATTATTTCACTTCCATAGAAAGGAAATGATTCCCCATTCAAGCAGAAACAGAAGATAGTCTTTCGATTCTGCTGGAATTTAAACTTCCCTTCTCTTATTTGAATGTAAATCCTTTATATTTCGGAAAAAAGTAAGCAAACCTAAAACTGCCACAGTGCCACAAAGAAAGTGAATTTTCCAAGGTGGAAAATTCTGGTTATGACAGATATTTTGCCCGATTACTGTGCATGAATGCAAAGAATATATTCAGCAAAAGCAAATGCAGGATCACAACAAAAAGAGCAAAAGAGCAATAAATATGTAAATATGTTCTTTCAGCAGCCTTATATTTACAACAAAGTGGGACAGAGCATCGTCAGAAATGGATTTGATTATTCATTGTACGATTCTCTCTAATTTCTTGTTTGCATATCACTGGTAATGATTAATGTTGACAAGTTTGATCTGAATTGGGGCATTTGAATAGATCCCAGGAGCATCAAATGTTTCTTTTTGTTTGTGACTGATGTACAAGTAATGATCTCCACCTGAGACCATAAGTAATTGAACTGAGATTGCTATATCGAGCTTCCTCTCAGTCTTGAGAGAAGAATTAAGCTGAATTGTTCCCTGTCAAAATCCCTGACGTGACTTTTATTCACATAACATCTCATAAGTGTAGTTAGGTCGGTTTCATTAAATATTTTCAGCCACTTTTGGATCAAGCCAAATACATATTTAACAGCTCGGGGAAAACTGAATATGTGCTCAGTCTCTGAAATGGTTAAGCGGCGGCCTGTCACTGCCTCTTCAAAGAGATTGAATCCAAGTGATAAGAGTTATACTGAAATCCTCCACGGCTCCTCTGAATAACCAGTGTGCTGTGCAAGATAGTCTGTTGGCGTTTT